TCAAATTTTTCAAATTTTCAGTTTTTCAAATTTTTCCCCCGGATGGACAACAACAATGTCAAAAGTCCCCAACTATAGATTGTAGAGCTCGAAGAGCTCTATAATTTACCCGCTTACACCACGTTCGTATCTCTCGAATTACGGCCGTCAGAGCGGCCGGAAATTTCGGCCGAAAAATGGGCACCTTTTCAAAAAAATCCCCTCAGGGCAAGAAGCGATCTTTGGAAACTTGACTTGCTGGATGTGATAGTCAACAAACCAAACTACCATCGTGCCAAGTTTCAGGTCGCTGGGTTCCGTATTCACTGTGCACTGGGCCATCAAAAAAAAGTTTTAAATTTTGGCCGAATTTCGGCCCTCAGGGTATCAGATGGAATTTTTCTGAATTTTTATTTGTTCTGCCGGATTCAGTAGGTTAAACTGCTATAGAAACGGCAATCGAATTCTAAAATACGACCAAGCCGCGAGAGCAATATTCGAATTACAAAATTTTTGGATTTTGCTTACTTTGACGAAAGTTACATTATCTGAAAAACAAGGTCGAAATCGAAAAATCCCGCTCTCAGGTGCACTTCGTATTTAGACTTCTGAGAAGTATGCAAAACCTCAGTAGTAACATCCAACTTTTTGGTAAGATATTTGGAACGAAAAAAAATTTTCAAAATTAACGTAATCACAAAATCGACCAAAGCTCAAAAATTTCCGACTAAAATCGGTCTAAAAGTTACATATTCGGAATCCCCATGTCATTTTGGATACAGTCGTATGTTTTTTCCCGGTACTTTTAGTGCAACAAGTGCCAGTTTTGAAAAAACGCCCACTTCCATGGCCGAAAACACAAAAAAAGAGCGCGGGGAACAGAGAGAGTGGGCAGAGAACCGCTTCCTTCTTCGTTTGGCGGGAGAAAAGAGAGAGTGAGAAAGGGGTGGAGGGTGGTTAGAGAAAGGATTTCTCTTTCGATTCCGGTCAGAGATAAGACTGAGAGAGTGCTGAGTGTGAGGAGGGTGGTACGGAAACTGTCATCGTGACGCGTCATGACGGGGTTTTCTGGATTTTTTTGAGAAATTTTTAGAAAATTATTTTTTTGGTTCTGGATTCTCGGGATTTGGCCGTTTTAGGGCCAAATTTGACGGGGAGTTTGGGAAAAATATTATCTAAGGATACTTTTGAGTGCTCAGTCCATTTTTTTAGTTGATTTTTGCTTATTTTATGTGATTTTGATCAGCTTTTAGTGGAACAAAAATTATTTTAGGTAACAAAACACAGTCTCGCGGCGGCCGTAGGCCGTCGCCTCATGCCGGCGGGCTCTTTGGCCGGTCTTTGCGGACTGGGACTCACCTGAGCTTAGCGATTAGGATAAGCTTAGCGATCTTAACTTTTTGGTCTAAAACAAGGTCGGTTTAGCGTTCCGAACGCCACAAGTTTCTACTAGGCTCAGTCTGACGCGTAGCGTTTTTTTTGCCGCGGCCGGAGGCCGTCGGCCAAGCTTTGGCGAGCTTTACATCACATTAGGATAAAATGACGGCCCAAATCGCGCGCAAAGCAGGGAAACCGGGCGCAAAGTTGCCTTTATGCGCAGGGCTGCCCGAGAGACGGTAGCAGCCGCAGGCTGCGTAAGTCTCGAGCCCTAGTCAAATATAAATAGGCCACCACGTGTTTTGACAAATATTATAGTAGTAGTTGCAGGAATTGGTTTGCAAATCCAAGAATTGAAGTTTAAGCATCAAAGTTCGGGAATTCAAAAATTTTGCTTGAGGCCACACTCTGATTTTCCCTTGAAACGTCTGCCATGTTCTGTCTAGGACGAAGCCAAACTCTAAAAATGTTATATCGCGATTTGCAAAGAGATCCCAGATATTCAGCAATCTTTGAAGGCAAGTATTAGTCTGTCGGGAAAATAATGTGGATTCGACGTGCCTTGAAAACACCCATTTACAAGTTATTTTGTGATGGCAATTTTATGCGCAACTCCGACGAGCCGAGACACTTTGCAGCAACAAATCCACATTATTTTCCCGACAGACGGGCATTGTGAAAACTGACAAGGGAATGGACTTTATGTGTAAATCGATTTTGGCTTGGGACCTGGTCAGGTCGAAAGGTGTGTGGTAGTCGATTATTCACTTGGGGGGAAATCTCTGCGCGGGGCTTCAAAGCCGAGAAAATCGGCTTCAAAGTTTGGACGAAAATCAAAGGATAGGGATCCCGGAAAAGGAGCGATGAAAAGTGTGAAGCAGTGGCCGAGTGGTCAGGGCGCTCGCTTTTTGCGCAAAAGGTTGCAGGTTCGAGTCTTTCCAAGCTCACATCATTTATCGTTTTTACTTTTGCTTTCTTCGTGCTAATCCGGTTGTACATTTCAAAAAGAGGTATAGATAAAAACGTTAACATAATGGAAAGTTGTTTTTGAATACATCAGGTTGATGGTGCGCCCTGCGCTCTAAAACTGTAAAGGGAAGGTGCGAAACAGTTGAAAATGGAAAAGTTCCGTTTAAAATATACTTCTTGCATCGATAATCGAGTTCAGGGGAAAAAATTAATAGAACTTTTTGTCTAAAAAAAGTTATGAATGGAAGCAGATTCGAACTTGCGACCTTTTGCGCAAAAAGCGAGCGCCCTGACCACTCGGCCACTGCTTCACACTTTTCATCGCTCCTTTTCCGGGATCCCTATCCTTTGATTTTCGTCCAAACTTTGAAGCCGATTTTCTCGGCTTTGAAGCCCCGCGCAGAGATTTCCCCCCAAGTGAATAATCGACTACCACACACCTTTCGATCTGACCAGGTCCCAAGCCAAAATCGATTTACACATAAAGTCCATTCCCTTGTGAGGAGAAACGGTCCGATAAAATTGGTCTTCTGTTTTTTTTAATTTGCCTGGAGCTTTGTCAAACGCCAGTCAACTTTCGACCTAAGAACCTCGACAGTTTCTGCATAATGCGATCTGAAAATGTTGTTTACACTAGACGATTCTATTTTTTAACAAGCGCGTTTCGTCACAATTTTCTTGTTCCTCACTGAGTGCTTCCCAAAAAAGTTTTTTGACGATCTACTATCCCAAAAATATCACTGTAAAAAAGTGATCTATAATATTATATAAATGGCTCGATAAACTACTTCCTAAATACCAAACATCTCCTGGTTTTACATACTATAAAGTTTTAAAGAGCAAGAATCCGAAAACAACTCTCTAATTTGTTTGTTTGTAACCCATAGTAAAAGTAGAGAACACGGGCAGAATTGAATTTACAACTATTTGCAATTCTCTGATCGTTAATCATTTGGTTGTTTGTAAACAGTAGAGGTGCTAAAAGAGTTTTGGCGTTCTTTGATTTAGCGAATATCGTAGATCGTTCGTTGTAACGACAAATCATTTTACACATCAATCAAGAATTCGCTGATCGTTTTCGAAAATAAAAAAGTTTTTATGATGGTAAAAAAGGGAGGAGCAGTGGATATTTTTAGCAATATAACGATTGGTTTAACAAGGGACGAGCTAGTATAAAAAGGGTCGCAACTTTTCGAAGCTTATGGCGTAATTCGAAGGTATCTTCCTGGTACAGCTTTCCCTTGTTCTAAAAAGGTATCGTCATTGTTTTGATTGATCTCCAATTGATATTGGAAGTTACCATTTGAACTTAGAATGGGTCTGCACCCGGTAAAACTCTTTATTTGGAAGGGGAAAAAATTGGATTTTCGATGGAAAATTTGAAGCGCAAAAAATTGCAGAAAGAGAACAGTCGCTGATGTAAAATCCAATATCAGTCTGTTAGAAAAATAATGTGGATTTCTGACACGAAAATGTCGCAACATTTCCGGCCACCGCAAGGAGATGATTGGCGATTTTCAGGCTCGACGAATCCACATTACTTTCCCGACAGATTGGTCGTAGTGAACACCACATAGAATATCTTTTGACAATTTTTTTTTCTTTGACAATCTTTCTTTATATTCTATGGTCGCTCGTCTGCAAAGATCATTGATTACCTCAGCGGCCCCTGTAAAGCAAAATCCAAAATTTTCGATTAAGATCCTTGATTGTTCTAGCGACTTGTTATATGTGCTTGCCAGTAAAATGCAATATCAGTTTGTTCGAAAAATAATGTGGATTTCTGACAGGAAAATGTCTCGCTTTGTCACAGTCGCACGCAATATTTCCGGCCGCTACAAGGCGATGATTGGCGATTTCAAGGCGCGACGATTCCCATTATTTTCCCGACAGACTGGTATAGTGAACACCGCATAGAATATCCTTTGGCAAACATTTTTCATCTCACCATTAATCTTTATATTCCATAGTTGCTCGTCTGCAAAGATTGTTGATTATCTCAGCGGCTGCTGTGAAGCAAAAGCCAAAATTTTCGGTTAAGATTCTTGATTGCTCTAGCGACTTATCGCTTAATTTTTCTTGTCAAAGCTTGCCTCAAGATCTATAAAAAGCTTAATTTCACGCCTCCTGCCTTTCTTGAAGTTGTTTACTCTTCTAATTTTTTTCTATTCCTAATATTATTTGTTGCAGTCGCGTCTAAATTTGGCCTCTAGACCCCTCCTTTTCCTTAAGGCGTTGTAACCCACGCGGCCCGATTTCTTCGTATGTTTGTTGGATCTACAATTAGCTGCCCGAGGGCTAATTGTTTACCTTCGTCAACACAATTACGGCCGGTTTCCAGATCCCGAGGATCGGGCCGTGATTTCGTTACAAAGCAGCGGAACGCCTCGCGGCATTTTGTGGCCTGCGGGCAAACGCGATTAATTCCCACGGCCGGAGGGCGGCACGGCGCGGAATTGGATTAAAAGAGGTGGAGAAAGGTGCAGAAAATGGGAATCACAGAACGCCATGCCTCAGGGGAGAAGGCCGATCTTAAGCTCCGCCTTTTTGAAAATTGAATTTTTTGGAATTTGGAAGATATGGTATATAAGACGCGAGGATTTAGAGCTGTGTGTTATTCGGGTTTTCGGATCTTGAATATTCTCTATTTCTAAATACGGAATTCGATTCTTCAGATGACCAGCACTATGGCACCTGTTGAAAAACCTTATCTGCAGCTCACGTTGGACACTCTGGCCGATAGACTGAGCCTTAATGATGTAAGCGTTGCTCTATATTGATCTTTTTTTGATTATCACAGAGCTCTAGCCTATTTTTTGCGATTTTTAGTTTTTTCTTTAGATTGGTGTAGTAAAAAAATTTTTTATGACGTTATACTGTAATATTGCCTCAGGCTGATTATAAATTCCCTAATTTTAGCCCTCCACGCCTCAAGCCTGCGACAAACGCGTCTTTCAACCCAAAGGCTATCCCAAGCAATGCATCATTGACGGAGAAATTTGGCCAGCAGTTTTCGAGCCCGAAAAGGTTCGCTCGGCCAAGAAGCTGAAGGTCCGCGACGACGACGTCTTCGTTTGCACCTACCCAAAATGCGGCACCACCTGGGTGCAGCACATTTGCGCCCAGCTCATGGAGAAGTTCTACGACGAGGGCCAAGGTAAAAATTATAGCTGTAATTCCTTATCACAACCCCAGTTTCAGAACTCTCATTCACATCGCCGATGATCGAGAAAATGGGCGCCGAGTATTGCGACAAACTCGAGAGCCCGCGCCTGTTGAAGACCCACTTCAATTACCATAATACGCCCAAAAGCAAGAAGGCCAAGTACATTTTTGTGGGCCGGAATCCCAAGGACTGTGTGACGAGCTATTATCATCATAACCTGGCCTTCAAACTCTACAACTGGGCTGACGGCGACTTCAACACGTTCGTTGAGCTCTTCTGTACCGGACAATTGGCATTTGGCGACTATTTCGACCATTTGTACAGCTGGATGCCCCATGTAAACGATGAAAATGTTCTTTTTGTTACGTAAGTTGGTATCTCTATTACCTAGTAAAGACTGTAATCTCATAATGTAGCCATAAAATGGTCCTGTAACCCCTACATTTTCAGATACGAACAAATGTCCACAGATCTGCGAGCACAAGTCGTTAGGATCGGAAATTTCCTCGGCGGAAGGGCCAAGGAGATGGTTGAAGACGACGAGATCTTGAGCAATATCGTGGATGACAGTTACATCGACTCGATGCGAAAAAAACAACACCGGTATTTCCCTCAAGGCTCGTTGAATTTGCCGTTCTTCCGACGTGGTGGGGTCCGGAATTGGACCAATTACCTGAACGCCAGACAAAGCAACCAAATCTCGTGCATCTGGAGGTAAGCCCTTTTTAATTTACATTTAGTGCTATGTATTAGATACGATGTAATCTAATTTTGCTCTAAAAAACTTCCTCATACTGTACAAAGCAATTTGATTACATAAATTCCGTTTTGGGCGTCAGTAATCGTATTTAAAATATAATTTTAATTTGTTTTTGTTTTCAGAGCTCGATTCCTCGGAACAGAAGCCCTCAACTGGTGGAGAGACGAGATTTGTTGGGATCCAGATGCTCCTGATGCCCTGGCCGATACCCCTGACATCGTTGTGACAGCCGACGAAGAAGAGTTCGATAGCGAAGAGCTATGCTCGGTGTCGAGGAGAGTCTCTTGTTTCCTGTCGCCGGATTTCATCCCAGAACGAAGGCTTTCCGTCATGTCGAGCGGATTCGGCTCGGTCTGGTCCTTGGCCGTCCAACAAGCCGTTGTCTAACTTCCATGCATCCAAAAGTTACAGTACGATTACAGTACCCCGCCGTTTCTTCGGTCTGATTTCCCAATAGCGTCATGGTAAAATGCTATTCGTATTCCTTGTTATGTCTTCCAAATATCATCCCAGTCATTGTAAATTTGAGGTCTTGTTGTTGCAAAAGCAGATTGTGATATCAACATAACCACCGTCACCCAACTCAATGAAATCTGCCCCCGCGCGTTCGAAACAAATTCTGCAATGTTTTCATTGCCCAGTCTTTATTTTATACCTTGTAAATGTAATATTTGACAGAGTTCTGGAGATTAACGAAATAAACAAAAATTGATAAGGAACCGCGCATTTGATTAGCGAGAGTGTAAACAAAATTGATTTAATAAGCAAGTGAGAATGCTAAAAGCATTAGCCAACAGGTGTCTGCTTTATGAAGAGGCAAAAGATCTCTTCCATGGCTAAAAAAGACGAGCGCATTATGCACAAATTTTTGCTTCCATTTTGCATCGACAACCGTCTTGTTACTACTGACGTTTGCAACCATCGTTAAATTTCTTGACAGCAAGAAAATTGCATAGCAAGAGCTAAAAGTTTGATGATTCTTGAGCTACAGTTAAGCCTCTGTACGGATCTTGAGTTACCAAATATTGGTTCGTTATAAAAAGAAGGGCTTTGTTGCGCGGAGATTCGGCCTAAAATTGACTTTTTCGGCTTACAGGGGAAGTACCTCAAGTGCGATGCTCAGATTTTGATGAAACTTGGCACAAATTTATAAAAATGTTTTCTAAAATGTATGCGAGATTTCTAAATTGCGCTTTGCAGAAACAACCGAGATTTTTAGATCGAAAGTTGGCGAAAATTTTAGACTTTTTGCCAAATTTTGGCACGAAAAGTTTTATAAATAAATATTTCCACCGTAAAGGGTAATAGTTCCATAAAAAAATCAATTTTTTCCGCACGAAACTAGCAAAGTTATGGCTAAAAAGCGTTTTTTTCTCTGACCGCTCTCCGCGTTTAGTGTACCCTCTCGGCGGCAAAGATTACTCAATATATCGGCGGCGCCTGCAAAGCGGGAGGTAAAATTTTCAGGAATTGATACTTCAATTTTTGCCCGACGTGTGTGCAAAATTTAAAGAAAATCTGAGCGTCGCACTAGGGGTACTTCCCTTGTTAAAATGTTTGTTATACGTAGACCGAGTTTGTTGTTCAATAATTTGTCGCACAGGGTTCACCGGATATGCAAAGTAAGTCAGAATATATGTGGCTCCATTTTCTACAAACCGGATTTACAATTGCTTACAGTTCTCTTACAATCTGTTTTTTGTCTGCAATTGCAACTCAAGCCTTTGAATACATTTGTTGCCAAACAAGCATGTCATAAAACCCTCAAATTTCAATTCCGAACCGATCCGTTGACCTCCATCGCCTAATTTCACCCTTCCAAGTAGCGGAAATTCGGAATTCCAAAAGGGAGGTGGCGAAAAAATCAAAACTGAGCGCGGTAATTACGCATTCAGATACCCCACCATCGTAAATAAAATCCGCGCGAAAAATGAGACGAACGAGTTTTTTACAATACTTTTTAACGTCATCCCTCAGCTGACTCTTCGTTTCTAAAAATGTAAACAAATTTTGGAGCTTTTCCATTGTTATTGAGTACCAAATTTTTCCGAGAAAATTGCCAAAATATTTTTGTGGCAATTAATAATTACAATCAAATGGCTTTAAACTTGGCTCTTTGGCTATTTTTACTACAACTTTCACGGGTTTTTGCCCCATTTCCAGTAGTTGAATTACTGTTTGATCCGCACAAAGAACCCGATGGCCTGGTGGAAGAGTGGCACAAGCTCATTACTGTCCAGGTGAACTCTCTTTATTTTTGTTTAAACATGATTATTGTGAGTCTGTACACATATAAATACATATAATAAAAAAAGCTGATGTCATTGTAAGGCAACAGAATTTTTTTGCCGAATTGAGTTAGATGGGGTGTAAAACGACTACACAATGTTCCAAAGAGAAAATAATGCAAATTTAGTTTAAGTTTAAAAGGTTCATCACTTCTCAAAATTTGTTTGGACAGATGATATCATCTTTTTTGGTTTGCTAAAATACAGCGCAGCGGACGCTCCAATTTTACTAAAAATTTGGCTAATATGTAAGATTTAGACTTTTTTCTTCTACCTCGCGTTTTGCAGAAACAGTCGACAGTTTAAATTGGTCAAAAATTTAATAATTTTTTGCAAAATTGGCCCAAGTCTAGCCGAAAAGCGCTTTTGCTTTTTCCGCTCTCCAAATCTGCTTACTCTTTTTTCAACAATTATCGTTGAAGATCTTAGGGGCTTCTGCGGAATTAAATGACAAAAATTTCAATAAAAATCTGCGTATTGCACTTTGTGGCCAGTAAAACCCAATCTTCAATTCCTCTAATTTTCATAACAAAAGCTAGATTTCAGAAGAACCAAACCGCTAAATTTGGCCAAGAATTCCCGGTTGACGATCGTCTTTATGGCAACCTCAAAAAATGCGGCCATCTTTTTGGCCCACCCGCTGATTCCACTAGCTTTATCAAGGTCCATGACATTGAAATTTACTCCGAAATTGGGCATGGCACAACTTTTTGTCGGCCTGGAATCTCAATGGTCCGAAAGCCAAACGAAACAGTCGATCTGTCGAGAGATGCGCAGGGTAAAATACATTTAAATTTCGAAATTTTAATTTTGATGTTTAGTATTTCGTCATCAATGTTTGAACTCGATGCAAACGCAATCTCAGAACCCATCATTGGCAAAAATTTTCCGACTCATGGGAGCTAAAATTGAAGTTTTTGAGTCAAACGTCGCTCATAATAGCATACTGAGTTGGACTCGGCATATTATTCGGATGATTAAGAGGACCGAAGGATACGAAGATCGATGGAAATTCTTTTTGATTATTCCCAACGCATTTGTAAGCAATTTTAACGTAAAATTGTAATCAAAAATTATATCAGGACATTCAATTTGGCCGTGGAATCCACATAATCGCCGATGATATTCTCCAATCTATACAGCTGCTACACTCTGAATTTAGATCCAAGACCTTTGTCACGGTGGTTAGGAATAGAGATCTAACCCTGCATAAAGTGGCAGCCGAGAAATTCTTTTTCTGCCAGAAACTTTTAGATCTCTGGAACATCGATGAAATAAGTGGGCATGGGGCGTGGAATACGGTAAGATTTGAAGTCCGGGCTGCAAGGAGGGCTCTCAAAATTTCTTATAAAATCTCATGCTGTCTTTAGGGAGGTTACTAATTTCAGAGCATTTAAGCTGGCGTTATATAACGCCCAATAATCCTATAAGAAATTCAAGATTCATAACATTTCAGCTAGAAAATCGGATAAAAAGAAACTACCAACAGGAGCATTTTTACGTCGAACTTCTTGACGTTTTGGATGGAACAAAGCCGGTTTACTACGACCGAATGTAAGCAGCTTCACCACCAAATTTTTATTGATCCATTCCAGACCCGACGTCTCCATTCTCGACTCGGATTGCGTTCATTTCTCGGCTCGAGGCCTTTCCCTTCTCCATGGCCATATTTGGAATCAACTGGTTGAGCCGGGAACCCGACAGAAGAAATGGAAACCCATAGTCAATCCCTTCTTCTGCCCCCGTCCTCACTGTCCGTATCTCATCACAAACGAGAATGCCCGCTACTGTTTGAGACCCAAACAGTACTCATTCGAGACGAAACCGAGGCCGAAACTTCTGACCGCTTTGTTTCTGATAATGATCATGGTATTGTTCATTGTTTTGTTTACTTACACTCTTTGCTTGTAGTAAATTTATAGAGAATTATGGATTTTGCGTGTTAAGAATTATTTGTCATAGCAAATGTATCGAAATTTTGCCTAGAGAATAGAAAATTATTGAAGCTTCTGACATGTTTCAGATTTTTGGACCCTACACTGGACGGATGCCATTTTTTAGTAAATTTTTGGTCTGTTTACTCTTAGCAATATGCTACTAAGGATCTAGCATCACTAGATCATTAGTAGAAAGCATAAAGAAAGCTTGGTGATCCTCGTGGAAAAGAAGGACCTGAGTTTGGAACACTGCAGCAGAACATCTACCCAGCCGGTCGCAAAAAATTGATTCGTTATTGAAAGGTCTCCTTGTACAGTTTTAAATACTTTGCCCTAAAATTGGACTTCAGAGCCACTGAAAATGTTTGTTATAGACAAGTTTCATTGAACGGGGGTTTGTTGCGCAGGGGTTCCACAGTAGTATATGTTATATACATAATAAATACTAGGTTGGATAACAAGTTATGACCATTTTCTTGCAAAAGTTTGAAGTCGATTTTTTTCTAGCTCAGATCCCTCCTTATGTTAGTTCAACATACTTATAGACTAATAGAGAAAATTGTGGTCATAACTTGTTATTCAACCTAATTGAACACATTCCTTATTCCATGCGAGTCCGTACCCTCCGGATATCCTCAAATATCTTGCATAATCTTCCTCCAAATCGTTTAGCCATTAATTATTCGTGCGATCGGATTACGATGCATACGAAATCGCGCCAAATCCGGCGAATGAGAACTTTCCCCGGCCAAATGGCCCAAAGTTTGGCCGGTCGCGCATCGAACAACTGTTGCATTCGACCTCGGCGAATTTGAATATCGCGTTTTTTGTGTTTTATTTGGCCAGTCGGATTAAATTTTTTGGGATTAGGAAGAGGATCGGATTAATTGGGCTCAAGTTTTGTGGAAATAATTGGCTGTTTTTTCTTTTGATGGCCAGAAATTGAATGTTTTTTTGGGGGGAAACGAGCTAATAGATTTGTCATGATCAGTCTTTTTCACGTAACAATGGACATTTGTAATCTTTGATGGGCGCTTCCTGGCAATAAATTTTGGTTAGCTTTGTTGGATGGGCCAATCAATTAAGGGTGGGGTATAACAATTGTATAACAAATTCCCGTACCATGTCTATAACAAAGAATTCCAGAGGATACAAAAATTTATTTTAGCCCAAAATAAACCTCTGTACAACGGAACCTCCCTATAACGAATAAAATTTTTGGCCCCAGCGGAGCGTTATACAGAGGCTAAAAAAAGTTGAAAGGCTCAAAATTCTCACCACAAACGAGCTTCTTGATCTTTCTGCGACCAGCAAATTTGATTTCAATCTGATTCACATCCAAAACTCATAAAAACGCATGTTTCTCGACACGAATTGCCCCTCAAATTGTCTGACGGTCATCTTCTTATAACATAATATTATTGCACATTCCATGTGCAATAATATCCCCAGTAGCCATACGAATTCCCCCTTTCTTTTTTCCTCAAATGATCAGCTGTTCAGGGTTCAAAACCTTTTTTTCTTTCATTGTTTCAAAAGGACACATGTCTTCCCCTCAAGCCGTGACTGATTATCCCCGTCCTCTTACACTTCTCCCTTAATTCCCTTGGCTAATTTCCTTGACCATTCACTGGGCCACTTTTTGAAAGATTTAGAGCGATCTCTAATTTGACATTTTTCGCAAATTTCCGAGATTTTCGGGGGTGACTGCCGAAGTTTGACTCTATTTATCAAGGAAACGGCTCCTGAACTTTGTGCTTTGTTTTTCTTGACCGGATCTTTCTTTCGAATTGCAATTTTGTTTGTAAAATACGTTTTTTTATAATATTTATTTATAATATAATACCGTCAAACCTCTGTTGTTCAAAGACTTTTTGGCTCAAAATTGGCTTTAAAAACCTGTGAGCCTGTTTGTTCTACAGGTGGACTTTGCCTTACATAGACTTACTTATCTGAACTTTATCTGAAAATTTTATAGCCTTAAATTGAGATATTGAGAATCTTCTTTATTTTTGAAGTGGTGCATGCGAATCTCATCAGCTCAACCCGTACTAGGCGGGCCAAAAAGTCTTGGCATGTTTTCGCACCGTGCGGGCGCATGAATTCGGTGTCGCGACGAGGTGTCGCGCGATAAAAGTTTGGCGGGGTGCGAATGAAGAGCGCACTGTGCGTTGTTTACCCTTTTCAAAACAATCTTTTTGCACTGTGCGGTGTCGCATTGCACCGTGTATTTTTCTTGTCGCCGCGCGACAAATTTCATGCACGACGGCGCACTGTGCAGACATGTCAAGACTTTTTGGCCCGCCTAGTATTTTACAAACTTACTTCCAAAATTTCCTTAAATAAAAAATCTTTTAGTCCGTTTGCCATGAGTTTCAACTCTGGCGGGATTCAAGTGGAATCAGATACGAACGGACTTTATCGACGAAACGACGACGCCAGTATCAAACAAATGCGGAAAAAGTAATCTAGTAGCCCCAAATCTTATCGCCAACCATCACATATCACTTTCAGAGGCCTCCCTTGGATCCTAACAGCAGTTGTGATTCTCGTTTTGGTCCTGTTAGCTGGATTATTATACTTTGTCCTCAAGGATTCCAAATGCACTGCTGACTCACCAAGTTTTACACCAAAAGCAAGTGTAGAAGAGCTGACACAATGGGATTGGCCGCGGCCCAGGCAAACCACTGTTTTGGCGTCTTTTACTAAAGCAGCGATCGTTAGTGATAATGCGATTTGCTCGGAGATTGGACGGTGAGCATATTTTCAAGGCAACTTTTGACGATGCTTCAAGAAATTATTTTTTAAATTATCGACTTTTATGGTATACTTTACAGGTCTATTCTCTTGCGCGGAGGCAACGCCGTTGACGTGGCGATTGCTGTTGGCATCTGCATTGGAGGTCTTCATCCCCATTCAAGTGGCCTGGGCGGCGGTTTTTTGATGACTTATTATGACAAGTGAGTGTCAATCGCTTCCTGTGATTGATGGCTGTTTGAAAAAATAATTTTAGAGAAGCCGGAAAGTGCCGAACATTGGATGCCCGTGAAACAGCGCCTCTGGCAACAAACCAAAATTCGTTCCATGACAACCCAAAGGATGCGTTTTTGGGTAGGTTGGATGCTGCATTAAAGAAAAATTTTTGCCTCTCTCTGGCAGCTGTCTTCATTAACTTTAAAAAAAATCAAATTTTACCATACCCTCAATATTTTAATTGGTCTTTTTAGGTCCCAAATCCATCGCCACTCCCGGCGAGCTTCATGGATTTTGGTCGGCGTTCAAACGTTTTTCCAGCGGCCGAATTCCATGGTCAGATCTCTTGATGCCCACTGTTAAACTCCTCAATAACGGATATCCAGCGACCAAATTGATGGAGCTGAACTTACAAGCCAAGGAAGCCGACATTTTGGCCGAACCATCAATGAAACCGCACTTCACCAACTCCAAAACCGGAAAACTTTACAAAGAAGGGGATATTATTAAAAATCCCACACTCGCAGAGACCCTTCGGCGGCTAGCCGTCTCCACTGATCCCGTCCGAACTTTTTACAAAGGCGAAATGGGGGATTTGGTTGCGTTTGAGATCAAAAAGCTGGGTGGACACGTGACCAAGAAGGATCTGGAGCAATACAAAAGTAAAATTGACGAGAAACCAATCACAACCACTCCATTTGGCGATGAATTAACGATCTGTGGACCGAAACCTTCAAGTAGTTCGGCCGTAACTCAGCTGATTTTGAGTATCATGGCAAGATTTTATCCCATTGGAAGCAAAAAAGAGACCGTTTTCAACGATGTGGAGTATTATCATCGATTTATTGAGGCGCAAAAGTTTGCTTACGCTCAGCGGACTAAACTTGGTAAGCCATAGAGCCAGAGCCAACTACCCTTCAAAAAAAAGTTTTTTTCTGAAAGATTGAGTTTTAGGGGACCCAGACTACGTTCATGAAGCCAACGGCGCTCTGCAGAATATGACCAGCAAAGAATTCATCGACCAAATTGTTGAGAAAATCTCGGAAAAAACGCTGAAGGTCAACGAATACGGATCTAGTGAAGAGCAATTGGACGACAAAGGAACGTCTCAAATTTCGGTTATTGATGCTGATGGGAACGCTGTTTCGCTTACCAGTTCGGTCAATAATATGTAAGCTATATATATTTAGCGTAAACTAATCACGATTTTTCCAGTTTCGGCTCCCTCGTTCGCTCCGAACGTCTCGGGATTGTTTGGAATGATCAAATGGACGATTTCTCCCTCCCCGGCAGCAAAAACTTCTTTGGATTCACCCCGGCTAAAGCCAATTACATTGAACCCGGGAAACGACCACTCAGTAGCATGAGCCCCATTATCATCTACAACTCCAAAACCAAGGAGGCTGAAGCCGCGGTTGGCGCAGCCGGAGGGTCTAAAATTATCTCCGCGGTGGCTCAGGTCATTCTACAGAAACTTGCTTTCAATCAGACGGTCAAAGAGGCCGTTGATTTCCCCAGGATTCATAATCAATTCACGCCAATTCGGACAGCGTATGAGAAAGGAGTACCCCAGGTAATTTAACCTCCGCCGAAAATCAACTATGTATGCCCTAAAAACATTGTTTCCCCCCGATTCTCCCTTCTCTTGAATCTCGACTTAAAAATTTGCCAATTAATTTTCAGATTCTCCTCGACGAACTCGCAAGACTGGGCCACAATTTTACAGAGATGGTAACCCCCTTCTCAACAGTTCAAGCCATCTTCCGAACCGCCAACGGGCGGTTACAAACAACTTCAGACTTCCGACGACCGGTCTACATGAATCCGACGGGATTTTAGACACTATTATATTACGCATTAAAAGTAGTTTACAATTGATAGTGGTATGTTAATTGTGTAACATAATTTACATAAAATAAGCGTTGGTATTTAAAACATTACATAAAAATGGCATAAAATTGGTGGTGGCGGCATGAAGAACTGTTAAGCCTTATCTGCAGTATTGACTCCAAAACAGTGTTCAGACAGCATATATCCGACGTGATGCATTGATTACGAGCATTGTTCGCCAAATTTTCCCTACGTGCCATAGGTTACAATGAAGTCTCGGACGTGTGATTCGCGCAAGTGGAATTTGTTCGTTGCTGACAATCCGTGACGCTTCTATGCGGTTGCAAATGCTTTAATATCTGCTGTTAGAGCGTCGTAGTCGATTGCGTAATCCTTCGCTGTGGCCCATTTCTGCACTTCGTAAAGAGCTGCGAAGACTGGTTGATATTCTGTAACTTCTTCTGGATTCTCTGCGCCCCAGGGCAAAAACTACAACTTGAATGGTATTGCATAAAAGATTTTTTACGTAACAAGTAAACGACCGTTTAAGCTACAACTAAACGAGTCCAAAAGGTCTACATATACTAAATTACATAACATAGTAACAACATGTGTAGAAAGAAATACGGTTACGTGAAATGCACACATGTTTTGGCTAAAATTACGTTGGTTAAGTAAAAACGATTAACGTAAAATTGGTGGTGGCGATTAAAAAATTCCGGCGTATGAAGAACTGTTGAGCCTTATCTGCAGTATTGACTCCAAAACAGCGTTCAGACAGCATATATCCGACGTGGTGCATTGATTACGAGCATTGTTCGCCAAATTTTCCCTACGTGCCATAGGTTACAATGGAGTCTCGGACGTGTGATTCGCGCAAGTGGAATTTGTTCGTTGCTGGCAATCTGTGGCGCTTCCATGCGGTTGTAAATGCTTCAATATCTGCCGTTAGAGCATCGAAAGCGTCGTAGTCAATTGCGTAATCCTTCGCTGTGGCCCATTTCTGCACTTCGTGGAGAGCTGCGAAGACTGGTTGATCTTCAGGAACTCAATCTGAACTCTCTACGGCCCATAGCAAAAACTATTACTTGAATAGTAATGCATAGAAGATTTTTTTACGTAACAAGTAAACGACCGTTTAAGCTACAACTAAACGAGTCCAAAAGGCATACATATACTAAATTACGTAACATAGCAACAACATGTGTAGAAAAAATTACGATTATAACGTGAAATGCGCACATATTTCGGCTGAAATTACGTTGGTTAAGTAAAAACGATTAACGTAAAATTAGTGTTTGGCATATATCCGACATGGTGTTGATTACGAGCATTGTTCGCCAAATTTTCTTTACGTGCCATAGGTTACAATGAAGTCTCGGACGTGTGATTCGCGCAAGTGGAATTTGTTCGTTGCTGGCAATCCGTGACGCTTCTATGCGGTTGCAAATGCTTTAATATCTGCTGTTAGAGCGTCGTAGTCGATTGCGTAATACTTCGCTGTGGCCCATTTCTGCACTTCGTAAAGAGCTGCGAAGACTGGTTGATATTCTGTAACTTCTTCTGGATTCTCTGCGCCCCAGGGCAAAAACTACAACTTGAATGGTATTGCATAAAAGATTTTTTACGTAACAAGTAAACGACCGTTTAAAGGGCCTCACCAACTACATTTGAATCGCATTTTTACGGCTTGGAGGTGCGCCTCGCCAAAAGTTGCGAAAATCCCGCGAAAAAAATTAATACAAAAATAATTGAGAATTTTTTCTTGTTCGAGCTCGAACAAGAAGAATTGAAGTTTGTTCATGTTCCAAAGCTGTGAACAAGGCTGTTTGGTCGTGTGGATCCTCTCAACACCCATTCCGATGCTCTGGGGGAAAGGCTGATGTAAGTTTTTTTTTGATTTTGGCTTGGTTTTTCACATTTAGGTAGGATTAAAAGAACTTGTGCAATATTTCCCCTGTTCTTTCGAAAAAAGCACGAGCGCAATGTTGAGGAGCAGGTATTAGAATCAAGGTTTCTCTGAAGTCCATTTCTTGCCTTGTTCGAGCTGTTTTTATCCATTTAGAGGTATTTTATATTGTTTTAGTTGGTCTTTTATTATAATTTCAGAATTGTTCAAACGTCCGCAACGACCCATGAAGATGAAGGAACCAGCTTGACCACAAGGACCTGCGAATGAATTAAAGCTTCTTGATCTAAACGTGTTTCAAAACGAGAGAATGTAACTTAATATATCTTTTTATTGTCTAACACATCAATAAAACATATTACTCATGCAGGTTTTGGCCAATTTGATGGTGTACGACACGTTTTCGTCTCCGTAACCATTGAGACTCACGAACACAAGTCCCAGTCTAAAACTAAACGCATAGAAGCAGAGAAATTACGTACCTAAATTTTAAGCAAACAAGTAAAAAAAACACATTACCTTATACGCAGATGATGTGCCTAAATCGAATCTTGATTCCAAGATGAAGAGAACTCTTTTTCATGGATCGTTGCGGACTTGAACAACTCTGAAATTAAAAGACCAACTAAAACAATATAAAATACCTCTGAATGGATAAAAACAGCTCGAACAAGGCAAGAAATGGACTTCAGAGAAACCTTGAGTCTAATACCTGCTCCTCAACATTGCGCTCGTGCTTTTTTCGAAAGAACAGGAGAAATATTGCACAAGTTCGTTTAATCCTACCTAAATGTGAAGAACCAAGCCGAAATCAAAAAAACTTACATCAGCCTTTCCCCAAGAACATCGGAATGGGTGTTGGGAGGATCCGCACGACCAAACAGCCTTGTTCCCAGCCTTGGAACATGAACAAACTTCAATTCTTCTTGTTCGAGCTCGAACAAGAAAAAATTCTCAATTATTTTTTGTATTAATTTTTTTCGCGGGATTTTCGCAACTTTTGGCGAGGCGCACCTCCAAGCCGTAAAAATGCGATTCAAATGTAGTTGGTGAGGCCCTTTAAGCTACAACTAAACGAATCCAAAAGGCATACATATATGTGTATAAATTACGGATGCAATTTTTGGTTTTGAAAGAGACTAAATTACGCATAGTAACAACATTTGTAGAAAAAATAATGATTACGTGAAACGCACACATGTTTCGGGTAAAATTACGTTGGTTAAGTAAAAACGATTAACGTAATAATGCATGATAGTATATTATATCGCAGCAACTCCAAAAGTGCATAGAGCAAATCATTATGCTAAGAAATTACGGGAACATCACCGGCTATTGCGTGTGCATCAGTAACATTCAGATATATGTCCTTCACACAATTTACGTTTATAACAAGTTCAAATGCTCCGCTGATGGTCCAGCCAAATATGGACATCGTCTTTCTCCCACATCCTCAAAGTGTCCAACTGATGAGTATTTCTGCGCCATATAGGCCGGTAGCAACAGTACCGGTGATTCTTCGTCCCAACGATAACGTTTGGCTCGCATTTCTGGATAAGCAACCATGGATTTAACTACCACATCATTTTCATTGGGTCCTGGCGCCGTTCTCACGAATTGGTCAAAGCCCAAAGATAATTGTTCTTCCAAGTTTCTTTGGAACACTAGCACTGCACGAAAATGGGCGTCGGATGGTATCTCTCGATCCCTATAATCCCTTGTAAAAACCACTCTGGAGACGACTGCCCGCTCATCCTGGGTCCATGGCCGATAATTCACCCGAAACCTTGTTGCAATGCCTGCATATGAACATAAATTATTACGTATGCATTTTTTGGTTTTGAATGAGACTAAATTACGTATCGTAGTAACAACATGTGTACCAAAAATTACGATTGTAACGTGAAACGCGCACATGTTTCGGCTAAAATTACGTTGGTTAAGTAAAAACGATTAACGTAATAATGCATGATAGTATATTATATCGCAGAAATTCCAATAGTGCATAAAGCAAATCATTATGCTAAGAAATTGCGGGAACGTCACCAGCATTGCGTGTGCAATAAGTAACATTCAGATATATATCCTTCACACAATTTACGGATTTTGTAGAAAGCATGTGAAAAACTTAAAAATAAAAGTATATCACATAGTATATGTTTAATATATTACAATGATCATAACAATAATTAATATTGTCATATTTGCAATTATTATATGGTATAATATATATATTAGTGAAATATGTGCGTTGAAATGTTGGCCTGTAAGGCGGATGATATTTATATTCGAAATCCATGAGTAGCGCAATAAAAATATGTATATAGATGAACTCGAAAACTGTAAATCATAATAACGCGTGATAACAATATCCTAAAGGGATATCTAATAAAACAGAAAATTATTGGGCTTAAAATAAAGGGATAATACTACGGTAAGACTAAGCCAATCAGCCCTTCTCTTTACGGACGGGTACATTCTGTTCCTCCACAAGCTCCTATCTCCCAAGTCAACGAACAGACTCATATCACCTACGACCCTTCCGAATCAGGGCGTATCAATGATGTATCATAATTCACACCACCTTTCTTATTAACTAAAAAAATGAACTGAGTCAATGCTCCAGCTAAGCGAAGCAAACAATTCTCTGCGTCAAACAGAAAAAATCAAAATTATAATATTGCGCAAGTGACAGAAAAAAGTAGCGTACTTTGAATTTTTCTGCGTGATTACATATGTTTGATTAGAAATCAACTCATTGCGCAATAAAATTTGACCTTTCATTGATAAAAAAACACAACATTTCCTTTCTTGCATAATTCAAAAAGTTACATTTAAATTCCCAAAGTAAAAATCTATAATTTCCTCCATACCAATATTTATTATTAGCAAAGGACAAAAGGAACTTCAATAGACGACATGATATTTTTTTGTTTGAAAAGACATACGTTGTAAAGACCAATTTACCCATGTAATCCTTGGTTCAAATAAACGGGAGTAAAGACTTCACCGACAATCTTAAAAGGCAACCAGTCTGTGATATAACTGTAGAATAACAGGGGGCAAACATTAACCCAAATAAAAAAAGGTACCTAATATTTCCACAAGAAGATAAGACCATTTCATAGGGACAACCATAAAGGATGAGAATTCAAAAAAATCTAACATTCGACCAGACTAAGGCAGGCTTCTGAATCAAAAATAACTTATAGCCAAAGGATTACTGTAATTTTCCAAAAATAAATTTTTTCCTAAACTTGCGGAAAATCAAAACAAATTATTTTTGAGTGAAAATTACTGTAGTTTCAAAATTGTACAGACATTTTACTGTTTAGTACTTTAGCTACAACAACTTAGTCATTAAAAAAAATAGCCATCAGACCAAAACTATCCTAAAAATTCAAAATTTGACATTAACAAGAAATCCATCAGGATATCATCACTTTCACAGGACTAAACAAAAATTAAAAACTACTTCTATCCCTCCATCATCGCTCTGAATCTATCTTTTTCCTTTCTTCTTTTTCTTTTCGCCTTCAATTTGGACTGATCGTAGTTCTTCCGTCGCTTTTTCCACGTTATTCTCCTCATTTTTGCCTTCTTCAGCTGAAATTGGGCTGGCGAGTCTTGGAGGTCTAGTCTCGGGTGCTCCAGGGGTTTCAATCTCGAATATCATGATCGAATCAATGTTCGGGAAGGTAAATTTGAAAGCGTTTTTCTGAAAAAAAAATCTCACTTGCAAAATTTTTAATTTTATCAAAAACAAATTTTCGAAAAAAACGTACCTCAAAATGCTGCAATTGACTCATTTCTTTCAGGAACCTGTCGATACTTGCCAATTCTCTCGCATAAGTTTTGTGCCCGTCAATATGAGTGTACAATTCTTTGGCTCTGAGGAATTGAATGTTGGCATATGTGCAGAGTTCGGGGGTGGAAATGCACGGGGGCTTCCCTTGGAGGTAGTCTTGGCTCCTAAAATACGAAAATTAGAGCGATCAATTTAGTTTTGGGAACTGAACAGTCTAACAGACCTAAAAAATAATAATTTTTGGGACACTTCTCGACAAATCAAAGAATTATCGTCAAATGTCTTACTACAAGATTTTCTAAGACTAGAGCCGTTAATAGAAGCCAACTTAACCACCGAAACCTGTCAAAACCCCCAAAAAAGTCAAAAAAATTCACCAAGACCACTCTAAAGCCTAGTATAATATCCTATAAATCCCTCTTAAATTCAATTCCCAACCAACCTTCACTTACATAAAGTTCAAGAAAGACTTGAAATCGCTGTAGGACGGGTTGAACTGCCAGACCTCGCATTCTTCTCGGACTGTTTGCGGGATTGATTGCTTGCATCTATGGAGGAACAAGGTCTCTTCATTTGGCGGGGTCTGCACCAATCCTTCCTTCTTGAGGATCTGGATGAGTGCCAATACAACAAGGCACATTTGTACTTCCGCTGCGACGGTCAGTATGTTCGGGCAGATCCGTTCTTGAGCCCTCATTTCGAGAACTCTTTTTTCTTCAATGCTGCGGGCAAAGGAGTCTGTTACGGCTGAAAACAAAACCGTAGTATCCAAATACGATATCCAAATTATTGAAAGTAAAATTTCCCATTATTTCTATAAAAGTTGGGTCCCACCACGAAATCCTTCAAAATTGCAAAATCAACCAAAACCAGTGAATTCTTACGTAATTTAGTGTACGTATCAAATCCACACATCTGCCGTTTGATCAGCGTCCCAAATCGCCTTAGGACACACAGATAAAGGAACATGACCATATCCAATTCGGCCATTGGAATGATTTCCAAATGCAATGTTTGTTGAAAATGTGTCCTGGTCAACATGAACGTGTGATATTGGATGTAGCTGCTGATGAGAGGCGGACATCCGGTGAATCTTTGAGGGAGGGGGCGTTGTTCTCCCGTTTTCTTCACTAAATCAATGTGATCTTCGAAGGCCTTGCGATTATACGACATCATCGAGCGTTCCATGCATGCTTCGAGCTTCTGAGCCTACAAAAAAACACATCTAAAAACATTTTACACATCCGAAAATATACTTTTTGGCAGAGAGGAACACTTGACCCAATCTGTTCCAAAAAAGTGTCAAGTCTTTCTCTCATACCAAAATGGGGTGAAATGTCTTGAAAATCGCTCAAAATAATTTTCTAAACCCGTTAACGCACCTTGGGGAGATAACTGGCATACAATCCAGCCAAGTTTGTGCACATTCTGAGCCTGAAATGGAACATCGAATGGACCAGGTATTGAAGATGATGAGAGTGGACTCGGCTCAAGTCATATATCAGCTGTTTCATCGTGCTGAGGTAACTGAATCGTCGCAGTTCCATTAATCGATGCATTCGATCTTCTTCACTTATCCCTTCAGCAGTTGGGCACATGTCAGCCAACTGTTCCGGGTCCAAAATGGGCCAATCCGGTTCGTCGAGGTTGAAATATGGCAAGGGGTCGGAGGCCATTGAGATCGTGAATGGGAGAGTTCTGAAAAATACTTATAAATATAAGTATTAAATAAATCAATAACTTCCTTGACACTTCGCAACATACAAAAAACTCTGTCAAAACCCCCCAAACATCATCCCAAACAAAAATCTTACGTCAGCTGTTTCATTTTGTAGGTAGTTGAGAAGTCGTCGATTCCATTTTCCGTGAGATCCTCGAGGTTGTAATAGTACAGTATCTTCAACTTGCTGGTCAAAACAGTCAGCTCCAAGAAGCTGCGAATCACAACATGGAGCTTTTGGAACCTATAAAACGTCGCAAAGATGTCATCAAGAGCCCATGGGAGGCAGACAATCGACTGGATTCCATCGTACAATTCTTGGAGGAAATGGCCAAAGAAATAGATGGCGCGATGCCTCGAAACTATTTTCACTTCATGCGGGAAGTTGTTGGGGAGGTAGTGGAACTTGAGGTCTGGGATTATAGTGGGCAACCAGGCAAAATCGCCTAAAAATTTAGTCATAAATTGATATTTTTTCAACAAATCGTCTAAAATAATATAAATTCTCCATTTTTCGACATTTCACCAAGTTTAGGTCACAAAATAAAACTTCAAATAAACCCACCGTCCGGATTGGAGTCAAAAAAGCCACTGGCGATCTCATTGAACAGGGTCCTCTCCTTCGAACCCTTGCCCGAAACCCGGACTGCTTCAATATTTTCATAATCGAATCCTTGCGGTGGTGCGCGCCCAAAATCACAGGATTCGAGGGCCAAACAGACATACGAATAGGCCGTTAGGAAATTCTTGGACATTGATCGTATATCGGGGCTCTCCTGGTCCACCGGGTCCAATTTTTTCTTTTTCGGCTTCTTCTGTTGTTTTTTGGCCTTTTTCGATTTTTGGACCGGTTCTGCCGGCTCCTCTGGCTCTGGCGCCCGCGTCAAGAGGGGAAATGCGCAAGAGATGGCTTGAATGAGAAACTTGAAGAACAGTAAACGAACAGCGACGGCTTCTTTGTAGGTTCGGAGAGCTGGGCGATCCTCTTTTAGGCTGCCGTCTTGGTTGACAAACATGGTCTAAAAATCGAAATAAAAACTTCAAAAAAGTCACCTGATTAAAGGCATTTTCCGAATTGTTGATCTCAATTGCCTTGTAAAGGGAGCCGATAACATCTCGATAATTCGGAGCGTTGAATCTGTGGGTCGTCTTTCGATTCATAGCGTCCTAAAATGCATCAACAACATAAAAAATTGAAAAAAAACATATTCCAATGCAAAATCTGCATAAAGTTCCCAACCAACCTCCTCGCAAAGGGTCTCAGCACTCTCTACCAAGTTTATAAACATCGATACAATCCAATTGCAGGCATAAAAAATCGCACGCAGAATTGGATCATTATCAGCGCATTCCGGATGTAAAGCGAGGATATTCGTGAAGACAGTGGTGTCCAGACTCTCCACATTAATCATCCATGAAGCTATCAGAGCCAGCTGAGCATCACACATTGTTATGTGATCGATTTCGGACCATTTGTAGGATTGGATGAACTGAAAGTGGGATATCGATCATGAATCACATAAAGAGGTGTGAAATATACATCGGAGAGTGTAAATCACCTTTGCTTTCTCGGACGTCATGATAAAAGGCACTCTCTTTTCCATCCCAGAATCCATTTTTGGCTCCATCAGCTCGGCGGCATTCATGGCTTGAAAAAGATCAAAGTTCTCACCAAAAACAAGTTCGTTGTGCTTCAACGCTGAAATTTTCAGTGTAAAATGAAGCAGAAGAATATAGAAAGTCTTGGACAAACATAAAATTTTTTTTTTTTTCACATTTACATATGCGACAAAAATTTCTTTAGATTACTCTTGACATCAGAAGGAGATTTCCTAAAAGTTGAAAAAATACAAAGAAAGATCAAACTTACACCGGCACGCCTTAAACAACAAGTCAGTCACATCACTCTGAACGATGATTTTAAGATCATCCGGGCGAAGCCGCTCTCCAAAGTCGTGTGCAACTGAAACTCTTGGCCATTTCGATAAATCCCTCAGAATTGGATTATCCTCCTTCACTGCTTCGAGTAACGCGAACTGCTCTTGCAACGGCTGCCAATTGTGGTCCAGAACTCGATCCCGTGGCGTTTTCTTACAGGGATGTGCGAATTTGTCGTAATCGTCCGGAAAGAGGGGTTTCAAATGCTCTCGAGTCAATAACTTTCTGGCCATGGCGGAGGACAGAAAAGACGGTGGATCTCAGCCGTTTGTCCAGGATTTAACTAAAAAAGACAGCCGGTGGTTGACATTGGGGGTTTCGTTTTAGCAAAAACAAGCATGTCCCGCAAATATTTACAACAATAAATCGTTTATATTTACTTTACACATAATAAAAAAAGATTTGTTATAAAAATGTAAAATACGGAAGAAAAAAATGATACAATTACATGGAATTCATAGCCATACATTCCTTAGGAATTTAAAACTCTTAATGGCTCAAAAAACAGCGTTACAACAAACAGCAAAACATCAAAAAGAACTTCGACATCAAAAGACCAATCTAAAACAAGGTAATGATGGGTCCGAAGAAAACTGGTGCTAAAAATAGAAGAAACTAATTGAATTCGACAAGAACTTGCTTCATTTCAAAAATTTCAGGTAAGAAAAAATATTTTCTACGAAATTAATCGCCATTATTGACTTTTCCGACGAAGTGTCACAAGAATTATCGGTTTTTTATAAATGGTTCCGGAAGGCCGAAAATTAGTGGAAACCTTAATTTACTGGTAAAGTACGCCATAATCAGGTACAATTCACTTTATTTTAGCAAAATTCTAACTCGTTTTCATATAAATTATATTAACTATTGTTGAAGATGATGGTCTTGATGCTTTTCGGTCCTAAAGTGAGTTTTACACCATTCTGAGAGTTCTTCTTTTTCAATACCACATCATAGCTCTTTCCCGGCGACCGGTTATGCGCCACGACCACTAATCTCGTTCCATTTACGATGAATCCGACCGCCTCGAAAGCATTCTCATCAACGCTTTGAGTCATTTGAATTCGATACGATTCCGGCGGGATAAACTTGCTAAAATGTCCCATTATGTAGTACATGGGTTGTTTGTAGAAGACCTTCTTCTCGGCATCCACAATAATCGGAGCATCGACAAAGTTTCCGACCCAATTGGGGCCGCCTTGCTCATCCAAGAAGATGTTCCAATCCGTCCAGCCGGTCACGAAATGCAACAGATTTTGGATGATGTCGTGGGCGTAGAAGTTGGCATGGCTCCAGCTACCGAGAAGCGGGATGTGACCATCGACTTGGTAGGCGTTACAGGCCTGAAATGTTAGAGAGGTTAGATGGGGAAGGTGAACAAGTTTGGAACATAATTTCTCGAAGTGCGATGCTCAAATTCTCTTTGAATTTGTCATGCATAGTTCTCCTTGGACCTTCATCAATTTCTTAAGATTCTAGCTCTTTGCTTCCTGTAGCAGCCGAGTTATTCGAAATTCCTGTAGACCTGTGACAGATCAGACGGTCAGAGAACAATCCCAAGTTCCCTCCACTTACCTCTGTTGCCAATATGAACTTGTCAGGTCTCAGTTTATGGGTTAATCTTAATGGATCAAAGTCTGATTGCGAATACCAATGAACGGCCAGTCCATCGACTTCATGTTCCACATGAGCAGCTTTGTCATAGATCTGAAAAAAATTTAATTCAAAAAATTTGCAAACCGGGTAAATAAAAATTCAAAAAATGCAAATTTTGATAGGCTTTCATTCTGATCGCTTACAGCTTTCGCAGCGTCAAAGATCGAGTCCCGTTGATGATCATGAGCCATGATTTTCAAATTGGCCGTCGCGTTATTTCTGTTGAACATTGGGCGGAGTCTTTTGTTTACAAAGTCACTAAATAAATGATGATTAGATTTTCAGGTAAAATACGATAACTTTCTGGACTCGTTCAATATCTTACCGTTGATCTTCCGAGGACAAGTACATATTCTGGAAAGGATAATTGGGATCGGTGGCAAAGCCCGGCTCGTTTTGGACGGTCATTCCCCAAAATTTGATGCCCTCCGAAAAATAGTGCTCAAAGAATCTGAAAAAATATGATTTTATAAGTCTTTAATGCTCGAAAAATGGTATTAACATCATTTTCAACACCTACTTGATCAAATACTTGGCATAAGCAAGGTAGTAAACCCCATTCAAGTCTCCTTTCAGCCGTCCACCTCCCTTCATTCGGCCACTTTGTTTCATCCAACCTGGAGCCGACCAGGGCGATGCAAAAAGTTGCAAATCTGGGTTGAGTTTGAGAATTTGCTTTAGAATATCGGGCTGCAAAAAAGGGGCTTGTAAAATTACAATTTTCACAAAAAAAAAAATTTTTTTGCAAACCTCACCTTTGAATCCTGTGAAGTATTGAAATGCCGTTGCTGATAGTCCTCCTCAACCTCCGAATAAGACCATTCAGATTCGGAGAAGTCGCAGCTGCCAATTGGGACTCGTCCCAGGCTATAGCCAATGCCTAAAAAACAGATTCAACTCAAAGTTTTAGCAAGATTTGTACTTACTGTCATTTCCATAATATTGTTCCAGCAAGTTCAGTCCAAGAACCCCGGCTTTTGCGTATACCGACGCAACAGCATCCGTTATAGCGCCGCCGAATCCGATGATTTTTTGAAGCCGTTCGGAACTGGGGTCCAATTCGAGGACGACGGTTGTGTTTTTCACATCTAAAACGAGAGTTCAGGACCTTAAATAATTAAGAGAGTCTCAATAATGAAGTTAGTACTCACCATGCACATTTTCAAAGTTTAACACGGTCCTTGTAAGGCGATCACCCTCGGCCGAGGTGGTGTAAACTACCGCTTTGTTAAGCGCAACCTCTCCTAATGGCTCTACCGTATCGCAGCTCAAATTGTCGCAAACGCAAGCAAAGGAGTCTTGGTCAAACAATGCCTTCTTGCAAGGCGTGGAATGAACTGTGTAAAGCGATACGAAGAGGATAAGGCGGTTGAGGGAGGACATCCCTGAAATGATGACAATTTAATGGAATAAACATATGTAGGTCATTAAACAAATATGGCTTGTAAAGCACAAACAGTTTTGATGATTCAAATTTATATCCCGGAAAAGTCCACAGTCCGAACTCTAGTCCAGCTATTTTACTCCCAAATAATCACTATTCAATCTGAAAAAATTACTGCAAATAACTTCAAAATGTCATCGTGAAAATTGTGGAATAAAAACAATGGAAATACCGCGTTTATAAAGAGCAATGTAAAGGGTAATCGCCCTCATTAATCGCAATAAAGTGCCCTCACATTGAACCACGTGCTTTTTTCAAAGTTCATTTTGAATATTGATCCGAAACAAGGATGTATAAACAATCCGTATGTAAGTACTAATTTGGCAGTTTATTTGTGTATTTTAGGAGCGGATCGAATTTCCAAAAAAGCACAGAGCTTTGTAGCCCACACAGGGTTTTGTGAGGCAGTGGGATAAAGGAGGTTTGAAGGAAAATAAAATTAGCGAAGACACAGTATAGATTATATATTTCTTTTGCCACAACGCGTTGCAACGGTAGATAAACTTTATAATGGGAGTGCGCAGTGTCTAACAATTTTATTTTCTTCAAAATACGGGCCAATGTAAAGTGGAATTTCTGTGCAAAGAAGCTACAAACAACCCAAGTTGCAGAGGTCCAGAAAGCCAATTTCAGGCCAGAATGAATTGAAGTTAGCAAAAGATTTCAGCAGCGACTGAAATAAGAGTCTCGCAAAGGCCATGTAAGATTCCAATCTTTTGTCTCTGCATAGCTAAACACTAAATACTGAAAGAAGATTTTTAAATCCCTTAAAAGATATTAAAGCCCTTGATTGGCCCTTGCACAGCGACTTTCGCCATTGACCGTTTTGATAGCCAGCACTGTCGCTGCAACGTTATATAAAAGATCCTAGTCAGCCGAGAGCTCTTTATGTTCTTTGGCATTTCATTATAAAGCCCTTTATTTTTTATTTTTTGAATAGCCAACGTTGCAAAAGACAAAAACCTTTTTTCCCATGAAACCTCCATGAGAACCAACTGCGATGACTTTATTCAACTTTTATTGTACTCATAACTCATCAAAAATTCTACTTTCCGTTTCTAATTATTCAAAACAATCGTCTTGATACTTTTCGGGCCCAAAGTTTCTCTCACTCCATTGGCCGAGCCCTTCTTCTTCACGATCAAATCAAAACTCTTTTCTGGCGATAAGTTGTGCGCAACCAAGACCAATTTCAGCTCCGGTGTGATGAATCCAACAGTCTCCAAATCCTTATCATCGGAATTAACTTCAATTTGAATGCGATGCGATTCAATCGGGACGAATTTGCTAAAATGCCCCAAGGCATAGAACATTGGTTGTTTGTAAAAAACGCGTAAATCTCTGTCCACAATAATCGGAGCATCCAGGAATTGCCCGACCCAATTTGGGCCGCCTTGTTCGTGAAGGAAAAGATTCCAATCCGTCCAACCGGTCACCCAATGATTCAGGTTCTGAATAATGTCGGACGCGTAGTTGGCAGCGCGTTTCCAACTGCCTAGAAGCGGAACATGACCGTCGACTTCGGCGCCGTTGCTGGCCTGTAATAAAAATTTATAATAATTGTTCACATTTTTGAAAAAATGTGAACAACTTTTTGCTTACCTTACAGACAAAAATATTATACATATTGGATCATGAGATGGCCCAATTTTGATATAACTAAGGACAAATATATACATAGAACCGTGAATTTTATTAGAAGAAATTTTCTACAGCCCTTTAGCTCTTAATATCCTGCCTAGATACAGCGCTAGCGCCAAATTTATGAGCGTAGCACCCTTCAAGCACTGTCCTTGTGATTTGACCTCTTTTTCCCCTCACCTCCGTTGACAAAACAAATTTGTCGGGTCTCAATTTATGCACCAATTCCAAAGGTTTATAGCTTCCTCCGGAATACCAGTGGACCCCAAGACCATCGGCTTCGTACTGAACAGACGCATTTTTATCAAAAATCTGGAAAAAAGGTCACCTTTAACAATTGTACAATCCGTATTTTACCTCATTCGCAGCGTCAAAGATGATGTTTCTTTGGTCATCATGAGCAATGATCAACAAATCAGCAGTGACATTGCTTCGTTTAAGCATTGGCGCCAGTCTTTTGTCAATAAAATCACTGGAATTCCGGTCCATGGAAATGCATGTGATCATGTATTTTACAACCTTACCGTTGCATCGCCGAGCTCAAATACATATTCTGAAAGGGATAGTCGGGATCCACAGCAAATCCAGGCTCATTTTGGACAGTCACCGCCCAGAAATTGATGCCTTTCGTGGCGTAGTACTCAAAGAACCTGAAAGGTGTTTTTTTCGATTTTGAAAAGGGGACTTTTTAGACGTTTGCCATGATTAGATACACCTCTCAAACAAAAATCAAATGAAAAATGGGTCAATTTTTGAGTTTATGCTTGTATTGGTTATATAAAGGTCAAAACCTTGGTATGCGGGGTTTATTTTGGCTTCAAATTGCCTCTTGAAGCATTTGAAGGTTATAAAGGCTTTGCTGCACGACTCTTCGTTCTACAGAGGCTCTTTTCCTCCAGCCTACCTGGCAATATACTTAGCGTAGACCAAGTAATAAACCGAGTTGAATTTCCCATTCAAAACACCGCCTCCCTTCATTCTGCTCGAATTTTTCATCCATCCAGGAGCAGACCAAGGCGAAGCGTAGAGCCTAAGGTCTGGCTTGAGATTCAAAATCTCACGAATCATATCTGGCTAAAATATTCGAGTAGCTCTACAATCCTTTGTCAATTTTTACCTTGAAGTCCTTGGAAGTATTGAAATACTTCAACTCAAAGTCCTCAGGAACTTCTGAATACGACCATTCGGACTCGGAGAAGTCGCAGCTTCCAATTGGGACTCGGCAAAGATTGTAATCGAGTCCTATCAAACACTAAATATATAGCCAATAAATTCTCACCATCAGGGCCAAAATACTGCTTAAGCAAATTTAATCCCATATAGCTGGCATCTCTGTAGACGGCAGTTGCGGCGTCAGTAATGGCGCCACCAAACCCCATAATCTTCTGAAGGTATTCAGCGTTTGAATTCAGCTCAATGGTAACGCTGGAGTTGTCAGTGGTTGCTAAAAAAGCTTTTTTTAAAATACGACAAGCCACGCCGAGGAGTTCAATGGGCCTCTTAAAATTCGGTGATTGTTCTTCTACGACTTCTGATTTTGAATGTTCTCAAAACGGAAGGTACCCTCAAACTTACATGAAATGCTTTCCAAATTCAGTAAAGTCCTCTTTAGACGATCGCCTTCAGCTGAAGTTGTATAAATTGCGGCTTCTTCTTTGGCAATGTCTCCTAATCGTTCAATTGTATCACAAAACTGGCTGTCACATTCGCAAACAAACGAGTCTTGGTCGAAATACCGCTTTCTGCAGGACTCGGAATTTACCAATGATGTTGTAGTAAGTACAAGCAAAAGCAACGATGATTTTTCCATCTATTATAAAATTGGTTAGTCTTCAAATTAATTACTTGATCACAGCAAAATCTCGCAAAATTTTCAATACTTTATTAACTATTTATTAACTAAGTTTTCATTGTTCGATAAAATTCTATTATATTACACATGAATCATGTATGACAATTTGATGATATTGTATGTCTGATATCTTCTAAGAAATGCACCAGGATGAATGGAATAAGATACGATGATGACTAGACAAATACTATTATTTCATGGATATTCAAGGGATGTGAGATATCTAGGATACTTTAGTAATGGACGATGATACATTGGACAGAAAATGGATGATATATACTATAAATGAATAGAATGTTAAAAACATAGGTACTATGTAAAAAATGCTGTAGATTTCCTGTGGAACAAAATAACAACATTTTTCTATGCAAAGAATAGCCTATAAATCATAACCTTCAAAAGTTTAAAGAATGTAGCGCTATTTCTAATCGTTTATCTATAACTTTTCAACTCAAAACTAACTCATGACAAAGCCTAGGGCAAGGAAGTCCACATATTCAAGAGAAAAGCCTATCCGCAAACTGTTTTTTGGTCCAAATTTTTGTTGTACGGAGGAACAAACCGATTCAAACTTCGTTACTTCCCCCTCTGAACTTCCCGGAATAAATCTCTCATAAAAGGGGGACCTTCACACTTTAAATCCGAGCCTGAACTTTCCCACATGGTCTTGGATAATCACTGGATGAACATATCTACTATAAGTACAGCTAACCTTGATTAAAAAGTGCGTAAACATTTGATCCGTAAGCAATGACAAGCCTATGATACTAGGGTACAAAAAACACGCTAATTTTGTTCCGGTTTTAAGTAAATGCTTGAATAAAAAGATTATTGTAGATCTATATACAACTAGTACATATTTAAAAGTAAATTGGCAAATAGGAAGATAAATCGATTGGAATTTAGATATTGCAACCTACGGCTGACATATCAAAACTCCAAGCAAAAAAAAAATCAAAAGGGAACATGAAAAAATAGTTATACTAATTACACTAATTACACACTGGATGGCGGTTGTTTGATTTCTGGAATTTGTGCAGAAGAGCTTGTCCCGACTTCAACTGTACCAGGGAATCTTTTCCTTCGCATATGGAAATCCTCAAGGACATTACCGTTGAAATCACTGTGACCGAAAGTCAGCATCACAGAGAGATTTTCGTCTTCCACTTGGGCTATTCGCTGAAACAAGAATTAATAAAGATTTGTAACAATCCGTAGTGGATAACAAGATTTTTGGGATTTTCAGACAAAAAAAATAAATTTTCTCACTGTACTTCGTAAACAAAATTAATCTTTTCCTCTCAAACCACAATATTTTTCACTTCGCCAAAGCGAAATTTTCTCATTATTTTCCCGACAGATATACTTTCTGTAAAACTTACATCAAAAGCTGGAAGAAGAAGCAACAATTCGCTGACTCGTTCCATCGTCTTCTCCATATTATTCCCTACTTTTTGCTTGACCAAAGCTTGCAGAACACTCGTGTAGAATCTCCTGGTATTTTTTATGACTTCAGCGCCTTGTTCGCTTAGGCCAACGACTAAAACTAGTACTTACAGTACCGCTAATAAAGCGCTTACCCGGACTCATGACGCACAAGATTCTGAGGATCCGAATCTCCTCTTCGCTGACGCCCAGCTCCATGCAAGGCTTGATGATGCTCTGCCAGACCATGTTATAGAGTTGGACCACATAACCATACTTTCTAAAAACATACCTAAACAAACGAAATTTACATTCAGCGTTAAGCAGTTTGTCAGACAACAAGAGAGAACAGGCACCCAGCTCAGAAAGTGGAAGGACTGGCAATAAAAAATAAATTTTGTCAAATTTTTCAATGTCTTTGTTTACAGTAAGATTTGAGACTTCAAAAAAAAACTGATGACTAAAGCTAATCCCTGCTTTTTTACATGCTTTCTCTGCTTGCCATTCGGACGGGTCACAAGATATACGAACATGTTAGCAATAATTAAGCCACTATCCGATTACTGACCGACAAGACTCGACTATGTTTTCTACAATAGCCTCACAGACCCACAAACAAAGACCAAGACACCACCACCACTAACAATAAGACATCACGCAGTAATATAAGATAAGCTCACTCTCTGCTGATCCCGCATAATTCCGGATGATCCACTGGAAAATACAGTCCACCTGTCAGTGGGATCATCTTGATCGTGCAATTCGGATTCCTTATATAATACTGTAAGGCATTTTGGACCACAGTTCCCCAAGCTCCGGTGATCGCACGATCAGAGAGAATTGTAATTCTATCGGTTACATCCAGTTGAAGGAACTCCGGGATATGTGTAATCCAATCGATGACATATAAACTCGTTCGAAGCCAGATCCGCATGAATGGATCCAATCCGGGCGTGCGCGGCTCCCAATCTATCGCCGAACGAGCGGCCATTGCGCGAGGGTGCAGGAAACTCTCTTCGGTCGATAAGTTGGGATTGTTGTAGTACTCAGTGTCAGTAGAGCCAATATGGGAGACTGTAGTGTCTTTATAGGCGTCGAGGAAATTGTCAACGGATTTCCAATAATTGTTGATGGAGAAGATGTCATTTGGGTTGAAAATTGGGATCGAACTACGGTAGCCAAGCGGAAGATAGTCGGATTGGGCCTAAAATTTGGTTTTATAAAAATTGAAAGACATAACAATGAATACATCAAAAGAAATCACTGGAAATGTCATCATACTCTGTGTCAGACAACCTCTACTGCCTATCTTTATGTTTACTTTTCAAAACTCACCAGCATTTGATGTTGCATTATGATTGGTGTGGCTGTTGTGACACTTGTCTCTGCCTGGACTAAGCAACGATCAGTTGGCCAAGTTGGAGAGATCAGACCTTCCGACGGAATTATCGACGTTGGCGAGTTGGTTTGGGAAGCCGGAACTGAAGAAACCTCGGTTTTTTGGCTGGGAGGGGCAGTCGAAGCATCCAGACTGGAAGGAGAGGAGAGGCTGGAAGTGGAGGGAAGGTCGCACTCGGATAGGCAACTTATGTGAGGGTCCTAGAAAAGGATTGTTAGAAAAGGGCAGTAAATAAAGTCAAATTTGAGTACAGGAGATTATTAGAAAATCGCCGGGGGTGTTCAACCCAGATTTTTTTCAAACTTTTCCTGGTCTTTACGTACGGAAATCCCTGGTCTTTTCCCACAATGTCAGCACTGGAAATTTTATCTTTTACTTATTTTTGTCCTAATTTATCATAATCTACTTGTCATTTTCATATAACTTGATCTTCAACCTCGTATGTGGCTTGACCAATTTTTATCTTGCAATTAATTTGATGCGAATTTCAGAATTATAATAACCTTTGCATCTCGAGTTCTTTTTTCGTTTCTTTCGTTTTTACCATTCCTATTTTTACAGCTTTCATTTACTCAATTGCTCTTTAGAATGCTGTTCTTTTTTGTCTTTCGGCAAGTCTAGGAGAAACAGAAATAACTGCGGTTGACGTCCATATGCCATGACTAATTTTTTGCGTTTAAAAAAATTGCCATGTGCAGATTGACGTAGGAAACGGTAAAAAATCAGAGAATCTTTGGCCTTGAAGTGTCTAGGATTTTATAAATAATTTCGGCCAGAAATATGCTTATCGCACATCATCTTTTTTTATAAAAATTGGTCCATTAGCTGGTCTAGTGCAATATAATTGAAAAATTTTTATTTTTGGAAATTCTGATGACTGCTTAGCGCTTTCAGTATCTTCTTATAGCTATCGAGAGACTAAAAAGTCATGTATTTGTTGATTTCCCGGTCTTACGGAGATCCCCGGACCAAAGTCCGCCTTTTTTTCTCTTATTCAATCACATGATTCAGATTTTTTTGACAAAAAAATAATATTTTTTCTCCTTCGAACATATTTTGTAAATAATTGAACAAGCCATTAGTAGGAGATGGAATGAGTCAACTGTAAAAAGACGCTTTAGCGTTATTACTTTAGATTTTATGTTGCATTAGACATCAAAATTTTAATAAACAAATTGGAGGAAGAATTATGCAAAATTTTTACTGAGAAAGTAATGTCATTTCAACACTTTATTTTTCATCCCAAAGTTTCAAAAATTATCATCCTAAAATTTGCATATGCAAAATTTCCCCAAAAAATTTCATAAAATAAAAATCCTACCTGGATCATTGTCATATTGTTGTTCCGAGTAATCGCCGAAGGTGTAGGTAGCCTTGGAAAACTGCCAAATGAAAATTTTACGTCCATCCTTGGGTCATACGGTGCTACCGAAGGCGAAACTGGAGAGTATTTTACTCGGACTGGGCCGATGTTATTCCCTCGCACTTCATACATGTCTGGCGACCAGTCTGTAGGGCTGGAAGATTCGTGTCGGTCGCTCTGGACCACTAAAAACAAGTTTTTAGACAAAATTTTTTTCTTAATTAAAAAGCCATAAATTGCAAAAATTGAAGATTTCAGGATTAAAAAACACGAAACAAATGAAAAAATAAATTTTGATTGTAAAATACAGAGCCCCAAACCGGTGCCTTCTGGTCTAGGCAATATTTTAAAAGAAAAATTCAAAAATTCAATTTCGCGCCAAATTTCGGCATTGTGCACCAAGGTCTGAAAAAGTGCCATTTGACTGCCAAACAAAATTATAAATCCCAAAAAATATTCAAAAACAAAAATTTGGGCGCTTTGATTATTTGAGAACATTTTTATTATATTATCCATGGCTGGATTTATTACTATAAGTTTTCGGCAAAAAGAGATTTTTTTTATAAAAAAATCAAGGTCTAAAACCTCAAAAACCTACATCCAGGGTTTAACCCAACCTTCAAGCACTTCTGAAGACGGCAAGCTCGGCAGCAGTTACGGTATTCTGAAGAAAAATAACTTTTTGCAAAATTGAACGATCAAAAAAATATTGTGGTTAGAAGTCGATGTATTCGATGTATCTTACCCTTAACAATATTACAGCCCAAATTGTGGGCGCATACATAGACCCGTTTCGCGCGAATCGACCGGCGAAAAAATCCTTTGCACCCGCTAAAAAAAAAATAGTGATAAAAAACGAGTTATTATGGCATATTCAATAAGTAAAAAATTTAGCCCAAACTAGGGCTCAAACTTGTCTAGAATTAAAGCAAGGTGGACTCACTTGCAACAAACACTTCCATAATGGTTCTCTGCCCCGTTATCGCCACAAACTAGGCAATACCGGTCGCCCAAGTTCGTAAATGATTCCATTTGTGGCCTAAACAAAATTTGTAAGCATAATTTGTGTTTCATAAACTCGAGAATACGTACTATGACCTCGAAATTTTCAGGGGCATCTCGAAATCAAATTAATCTATCTGCACGGTGCAGAAATAAACAAAGGGGTTTTCACTGTGCGCGAGGAGTGAACGAAAAATTGTGATGTTGTTTTTGAATAAAATACGGTCTGCAAGAACGGTTTGGAATAAAAAAATTTCTTTCTTTGAAAAACCGGCCGAAAAACGATTTTTTATTTTTCCGCACAGTTCAAAATTGTCTAAATTTTCTGTATTAAGAAAAAAAATCGAAGTTTCAAAATGCCCAAAAGATTACAAAAATTTCAAAACAATTGAAAAACTTGCATTAAACCCGCGAGAAAATATGAAAGGATTACCGCAAAAACAATCACAGTTAGCACATCATGTGTGGGACTTCCCACTTGAAGACTCTAATATTACTATTCAAAATAAATTTCCTCAAAAAACCGCAAAAATAAAAATGATTCACAATGACTGAAATGGCCGCCACCATAAGCGCCCTGAAGCAATTAGACAATTCGGAACGCAACTTTCAATTCAAACAAAATCGATTCGAATGGAAAATGAAACATTCGCAAAAAGGGGCTGGGGAACGCTGTTTGGCGGCAGGGAAATAAATATCACCGTTTTTTGGGGGGATTCTATTTTTGTTTTCACGTTTTCAAGTCGGCCGAAGATCTGAGGCTAAAATGAAGCGGATATCAAAGGGAAAGATGTCAAGAAGACACAAGAAGATGTAAAGATATGCATGCTAATTTTGAGTTTCAACACACATTGTCTGGAGAATGAAATATTAGATGATTTAAAACGATTTGTTCTTCGAGAAATCCAAAAAATTCAAATTTCCCGCCAAATTTTGAAAATCTTGGCATTCTGTTGCAAAGGCCAAGAAAGGTGCAAAGTTTGTTTAAAATTAATTCTATTTACTTGCTTTTGAGGAACACATTAGGTGAAAATCTAGGCATCGGAGGCTTCTGAACATCATTATTTCTTTACACCCAACTATAATACTGTATATTTCTTCCGCGTTAAGCCAGATTTTTAGCTGAAGAGAAATCTTTTTTTCAAGTTTCACGTAAGCCTTAGTAAATACCGTCATCCATATCCAGACTTCACGTTGCCCTCCGTGACTCGAGATCTACCCAATTGTAAAGGAGGAATTGTAAAAGTAACATCAAAGTCTCGAAAGCCGCCCATAAAAGGTCAGAGAATAGACGTTGTAAAAGTGTCAGCCAGACATTCAGGCGATAAAAAAAGGTCAGAAGGGTGGTTGAGGAAGTTGTGCCTTATACAGTATATTGGAGATAAAGTTTGGAGAGGAAGTGCTCAAGTAGAGATGGGCAGATTACGATCAAGTTGGTGACAAAATGAAATAACAATTTTAACACAAAATTTTCACAAATTTTTCCGCTCTAAATTTTTGCTAATTCTTAGTAAAAGCTAAGTGCTACATCTGAAAGATTTCGCCTCCATCTAAACAGTGTCATTAAACGATGACATCAAAAACTTCGCCATTCATTCCAGTTATTATATATTGTGTAATTTTTTAACAGAGATCAAAAAATCCATTTTTTTACATGTAACCAGCTACAGTAATCGCAACAAAACCTCTCCGTTTCAACTTCCTGAAAACCTATTATGCACAATAAGACAGTTATTGTATCAATTTATCACATTATTTCCGGTCAAAGTTTCAAAGAACTCTCGGGGAAACTTCAAAGCGCCTAAAATTAGTGACATTTTCGTAATTCCAAAAATGTAGCTATTGTATAGAAGACTACATAATGCCTCATTAAATTAGTCATTTGACTTGCAAGGATATCAAATTTGTTTTGGATTTTGCGTAAGAAAAGATTTGAGTTACCGAATCGTAGATACATGTATAAACTCATAAATTTTGTATCAGTCTGTCGGGAAAATAATGAGTAAAATGGCGCTGCGCCGATTGCGTCGCTGAGGTGAAAATCAATTTTATTTTCACGCGACACGACTCATTTTTTGATGCAATTTTCGCTGCGACAGAGTCTCATTATTTTCCCGACAGGCTCATTTTTTACATAACTTTAAAAAAACGGCAAAAAAAAACATTTATATCGAATTGCCCTATGTTTTTCTACCTATAGAGACATGTAAAAAATGCACTTGAAAATTAGAGTCTACAGAGAAAACATTAATCCTATTTCCACGAATAAAACATTAGAAATCGGCCTATCATCTGATATCGCACTTAATTTTTTTTTATTTTGATTACTGTAGAGGGCTCCAGACAGAGTAAAGTACAAAACATGTAAGGGTTTTTGAAAAATTACAGATTTTATACAACCGTAAAATTCCAAAAGACCCCAATTTAGAAGAGAAATTCCGGCATGAAATGCAAAAAATTGCACTTGAAGTCGCGAAATATCGGAAAAAAATTTTAGAGTTTAAATTTTCAGATTGTAAAACACGTTAAAATTGGAAGAAAAAACGTGGAGAACACGTTATGAGAGGACGGAAAACCAAATGCAACAATTTATCAGGCGGAAATATGGCCAGAAATATAAAAAATGGCGTAAAAAGTGAAAAGAAATGAGTTTCCGAGAAAGAAATGAAATTACAAATTGAAAAAAAGATTTGAAAATTGGGACGAAAAGGGCAGATATTTGGAAAAGAAACATTTAAATACGTGATATAGCCTTAGGCGTTGTACTAGACGGCGGAAAAGTCTTGATATGTTTTTGCGAGCGCAAAAGAATTTACTTTGGGCGATCAAAAGGCCACTCTGACATCGATTTTTCGTATTAAAAAACACCTACCACGATTAAAAAGATTGCGGTTATATACTTGTATGATTCTGCAACTTTTCTCTTTTCTCGTTTCCTGACGTCCATCACTCCCAAATTAGGTATTATCAATTTGTAAAATGTCCATTGACGGATGACTGGACTGTTTAGCAACGAAATGTTTTTTGTGTTCTGATTGTAACAGAAAAAATCAAATAAATGTGAAGAAAAGAATTGACTTTATCGCTTCTGAGAAGGAGAGGTAAAAACTTGTTTTTGGTACAGTAAACTGTAGGGGAAAAAGGCGAAAAAATTAAGGGTAAAAATTGGGATGTGACTCTCGAAATAGCCGGATTTTTAGATGTTTCAAAATTAAAGAGTAAGACAAAAGATGGCCATGGAAAAAATTTGTTATGCGATTCCTGAAGAATGCCGCAAAAAATTTTATACAGGGTGCGGCAATTTTTCGGCCGGATTTGAATTGGCTATAACTTTTTTAGTTTTTATCCGAATGTTAAAATTCTTTTTTTCCCTGAATCCTCAGACGTCCTTATTTTGTATAATACCAAATATGTTATATACACAGGGGCTTAGTTCATAGTTATTGGCCTTTCGGTCGTTTTCTCTGCTTTTTCGGCGTGTGTGAAAATTATGACTTTTTTTACGAATTTTGTCGTAAAAAGTTTCATGCCTGTTCATGCCATGGAGAATACCGTTTCCGCAATTGATATGTGGCCTATGTCCGGCCCATTAAAGAGAATCTGAGAGTCGCACTAGGGGTAATTCCATTGTCAGCTATGAAAATTAGAGAATTTTCTTTGTCTTGAATTTTTACTGTAGTCTAATAAATGGGTATAACATATTTGGTGTTAAAAAAAATAGGGACGTCTATGGATTCAGGGAAAAAAAGAATTTTAACATCTGGCCAGAAACTAAAAAAGTTATAGCTAATTCAAATCCGGCCGAAAAATTGCCGCACCCTGTACATCAGATCTAATTATAATTCATATATTTATTATCACCAAGCAATATCCTATATCTACCGATTACTTTGCCGAGACATACCTTGAAAGTTGAAAAAATTTTAATCAGCGATATATCCTTTTACAGTTTCTCTTCATCGAATTTAACATCCAAAGATCATCGAATATTCTGAGGACCACTACAAAGCGCAGCCTTAATTTTCAGAATGTAGATATGACTAAAAGCAGGAGGTTGCTTTCAAATCTGAAGACAATCCATGTACTCCCCTCGTGACTACTTCAAATTATTATTAAACCCACCGTATTTTACCTATGACAAAGTTTTGTATTTAGAGCAAAGAACCGCCTCACAACCACTTACTTTGTACGGCAACAATTTGCTCGAAACGATTGAAAAATAATTGATAAATTCTCCGCAAAAAATTAATTCTTCAAACGGCAATAAAACACCTGAAAATGTCAATCTAGGGGAATTAAAACAAAAGGAACGGCGTTCCCCAAAAAGTTGCACTCTTAGATCGCCGATAAATATTTACTGTGTAACAATGGAGATAGGGCCTGTAAAAATTGGGGAGATACAGTAATTTTATTGGGAATGATAAGGAAAAGGGCATCCGAAAAATGCTGACATAAAGTTTTGCAACCGTAAAATACGGTAGGAAGAACTTTGTTTGTCTGGATTGTTAGTTATCGATAAGGATATTAATAGTGCTTCTATGCAATTTAGCAGGAAAATCTAAATTTAGCAAACAATTTCCTGGAAATTCCGACAAATTACGCTCTTCGTTGAGCGCTCAACGTCATCGTCTTGGATCAAATGGATCTTAAAAATAGAAAACGCTTCATTACGGGGATATTCCATGTCTAAGGCGAGCTACAGACCTATTATCTTTATTTCTTAGACCAATTTAGGCAACATATGCTCCGAACTTTATCAAAATTCTTTCTCGATCTTTGAGCTCTTCCATATTGACTGCAGCCTCCGTTAACTTCCTTGTCAACTGCAGTTTGCTCTTTCAGCGCTTTAAAAATCGCAGTCAACCAAATTCCAGGTTAAATTAACATTTACAAAAACTATTACAACAACTGTTCCCCTCAGGTTTTAGATTTTTTCATCTACTCGATAAGGATCTGCAAATGAACTTTTCCATTTTTCCGCCCTTAAAATTGTTGCCTTTTCTCTCGCGGGTAACCAAAAAAATGAAAAT